ATAAAGGAGTTGGAGGCGCAAGTGGTGTTCTCGTCCATCCTCCCCGTGGAAGGAAAAGGCCTAGGTAGGGAGCGTCGAATCGTGGAAGTCAACGAATGGTTACGCAGGTGGTGTCGGAGAGAAGGCTTTGGATTCTTCGACCATGGGATGGTGTTCCAAGAAGGAGTGCTAGGCAGAGACGGGCTCCACTTAACGAAGAGAGGGAAGAGCATCTTCGCGAGCTGGCTGGCTAACCTAGTGAGGAGGGCTTTAAACTAGGTTCACCGGGGGAAGGAGACCAAAGCCCTGAGGTAAGTGGGAAAGCGGGATACCGGGAGGAAGCACAGGCAGGAATGTCTGTGAGGGGAGGGCTCCTGCCTCATACTGGGAATGAGGGGCGATCAACAGGTTATCTCAAGTGCTTATATACAAATGCACAAAGCCTTGGAAACAAGCAGGGAGAACTGGAGGTCCTGGTGATGTCAAAGAACTATGACGTGATCGGAATAACAGAGACTTGGTGGGATAACTCACATGACTGGAGTACTGTCATGGATGGATATAAACTGTTCAGGAAGGACAGGCAGGGCAGAAAAGGTGGGGGAGTAGCACTGTATGTAAAGGAGCAGTATGACTGCTCAGAGCTCCGGTACGAAACTGCAGAAAAACCTGAGTGTCTCTGGATTAAGTTTAGAAGTGTGTGCAACAAGAGTGATGTAGTGGTGGGAGTCTGCTATAGACCACCGGACCAGGGGGATGAGGTAGATGAGGCTTTCTTCCGGCAGCTCACGGAAGCTACTGGATCGCATGCCCTGATTCTCATGGGTGACTTTAATTTTCCTGATATCTGCTGGGAGAGCAATACAGCGGTGCATAGACAATCCAGGAAGTTTTTGGAAAGCGTAGGGGACAATTTCCTGGCGCAAGTGCTAGAGGAGCCAACTAGGGGGGGCGCTTTTCTTGACCTGCTGCTCACAAACCAGGTAGAATTAGTGGGGGAAGCAAAAGTGGATGGGAATCTGGGAGGCAGTGACCATGAGTTGGTTGAGTTCAGGATCCTGACACAGGGAAGAAAGGTAAGCAGCACGATACGGACCCTGGACTTCAGGAAAGCAGACTTTGACTCCCTCAGGGAACGGATGGCCAGGATCCCCTGGGGGACTAACTTGAAGGGGAAAGGAGTCCAGGAGAGCTGGCTGTATTTCAAGGAATCCCTGTTGAGGTTACAGGGACAAACCATCCCGATGAGTCGAAAGAATAGTAAATATGGCAGGCGACCAGCTTGGCTTAATGGTGAAATCTTAGCGGATCTTAAACATAAAAAAGAAGCTTACAAGAAGTGGAAGGTTGGACATATGACCAGGGAAGAGTATAAAAATATTGCTCGGGCATGTAGGAATGTTATCAGGAGGGCCAAATCGCACCTGGAGCTGCAGCTAGCCAGAGATGTCAAGAGTAACAAGAAGGGTTTCTTCAGGTATGTTGGCAACAAGAAGAAAGCCAAGGAATGTGTGGGCCCCTTACTGAATGAGGGAGGCAAACTAGTGACAGAGGATGTGGAAAAAGCTAATGTACTCAATGCTTTTTTTGCCTCTGTTTTCACTAACAAGGTTAGCTCCCAGACTGCTACGCTGGGCATCACAAAATGGGGAAGAGATGGACAGCCCTCTGTGGAGATAGAGGTGGTTAGGGACTATTTAGAAAAGCTGGACGTGCACAAGTCCATGGGGCCGGACGAGTTGCATCCGAGAGTGCTGAAGGAACTGGTGGCTGTGATTGCAGAGCCATTGGCCATTATCTTTGAAAACTCATGGCGAACCGGGGAAGTCCCGGATGACTGGAAAAAGGCTAATGTAGTGCCAATCTTTAAAAAAGGGAAGAAGGAGGATCCTGGGAACTACAGGCCAGTCAGCCTCACTTCAGTCCCTGGAAAAATCATGGAGCAGGTCCTCAAAGAATCAATCCTGAAGCACTTGCATGAGAGGAAAGTGATCAGGAACAGCCAGCATGGATTCACCAAGGGAAGGTCATGCCTGACTAATCTAATCGCCTTCTATGATGAGATTACTGGTTCTGTGGATGAAGGGAAAGCAGTGGATGTATTGTTTCTTGACTTTAGCAAAGCTTTTGACACGGTCTCCCACAGTATTCTTGTCAGCAAGTTAAGGAAGTATGGGCTGGATGAATGCACTACAAGGTGGGTAGAAAGCTGGCTAGATTGTCGGGCTCAACGGGTAGTTATCAATGGCTCCATGTCTAGTTGGCAGCCGGTATCAAGTGGAGTGCCCCAAGGGTCGGTCCTGGGGCCGGTTTTGTTCAATATCTTCATAAATGATCTGGAGGATGGTGTGGATTGCACTCTCAGCAAATTTGCAGATGATACTAAACTGGGAGGAGTGGTAGATACGCTGGAGGGGAGGGATAGGATACAGAAGGACCTAGACAAATTGGAGGATTGGGCCAAAAGAAATCTGATGAGGTTCAATAAGGATAAGTGCAGGGTCCTGCACTTAGGACGGAAGAACCCAATGCACAGCTACAGACTAGGGACCGAATGGCTAGGCAGCAGTTCTGCGGAAAAGGACCTAGGGGTGACAGTGGACGAGAAGCTGGATATGAGTCAGCAGTGTGCCCTTGTTGCCAAGAAGGCCAATGGCATTTTGGGATGTATAAGTAGGGGCATAGCGAGCAGATCGAGGGACGTGATCGTTCCCCTCTATTCAACATTGGTGAGGCCTCATCTGGAGTACTGTGTCCAGTTTTGGGCCCCACACTTCAAGAAGGATGTGGATAAATTGGAGAGAGTCCAGCGAAGGGCAACAAAAATGATTAGGGGTCTGGAACACATGAGTTATGAGGAGAGGCTGAGGGAGCTGGGATTGTTTAGCCTGCAGAAGAGAAGAATGAGGGGGGATTTGATAGCTGCTTTCAACTACCTGAAAGGGGGTTCCAAAGAGGATGGCTCTAGACTGTTCTCAATGGTATCAGATGACAGAACGAGGAGTAATGGTCTCAAGCTGCAGTGGGGGAGGTTTAGATTGGATATTAGGAAAAACTTTTTCACTAAGAGGGTGGTGAAACACTGGAATGCGTTACCTAGGGAGGTGGTAGAATCTCCTTCCTTAGAGGTTTTTAAGGTCAGGCTTGACAAAGCCCTGGCTGGGATGATTTAACTGGGAATTGGTCCTGCTTCGAGCAGGGGGTTGGACTAGATGACCTTCTGGGGTCCCTTCCAACCCTTATATTCTATGATTCTATGATTCTATGATTCTATGGATTTTTAAGTAGCCTTTGTAAAGGCTTCTTGAGAAAGGAGTGTGCAAATTAAGTGCCCAGTGAAGAACCACTTAAGCGAACAATGAACTTGAAGACTGTCCGGTTTGGCCAATGTACATAGCAGAGGGGCATAGCTGGCACATGATGGTATATATCACATTGGTAGATACCAAACCGGACAGTCTCTATGCAAAAGAATAAATGGACACAAATCTGACATCAGGAATCAGAACGTTCAAAAACTGATAGAACACTTCAACCTCTCTGGCCACTCGGTAAAAGTTCTAAGGGTGGCAATTTTGCAACAGAAAAGCTTCAGAGAAACTGCTGAGCTTGAATTAATATGTAAACTAGATACTATTAACTTGGGTTTGAATAGAGACTGGGAGTGGCTGGGTCATTACACATATTGAATCTATTTCCCTATGTTAAGTATCCTCACTCCTGCTTGTCAACTGTCTAAATGGGCCATCTTGATTATCACTACAAAAGTTTTTTTTCTCCTGCTGATAATAGCTCATCTTAATTAGCCTCGTACAATTTGTATGGCAACTTCCTCATTCTCTTTATGTGTGTGTGTATGTATATATATATATAGCTTCTTATTATATGTTCCATTCTATGCATCCGATGAAGTGGGCTGTAGCCCACGAAAGCTTATGCTCCAATAAATGTGTTAGTCTCGAAGGTGCCACAAGTCCTCCCGTTCTTTTTACGAGAAAGAGCTGCCCTGTCATTGGAGAAGCGCGTGGCAATTGCACTGTGGAAACTGGCTTCTCCAGACTGCCACCAATTGGTCGCTAGCCAGTTCGGAGTGGGAAAGTTGACCATTGGAGGCATGTTGACAAGTGTGCAGGGCCAATAATTGCATCCTGCTCTGAAAGACTGAGACTCTGGGCAACGTGTGTGACATTGTGGATGGCTTTGCACAAATGGGCTTCCCAAACTGTGGAGGGGGACAGATGGCACACACATTCCAATTCTGGCACCTGACTACCTAGCCACCAAGTACATTAATCACAAGGGATATTTTTCTATAGTTCTCCAGGCACTTGTGGATGACCGTGGGCGTTTCACGGACATTAACGCAGACTGATCTGGAAAGGGGCAAGACACACGTATCTTTCAGGACACTGGCCTATTCAGGAAGCTGAAAGCAGGGACTTTCTTCCCGGACCAGAAGATCACTGTAGGGGAAGTCGAAATGCCCATTGTGATCCTGGGAGACCCTGCTTACCCCTTAATGCCGTGGCTTATGAAGCCATATATGGGGCATCTTGACAGCAGCAAGGAGCTGTTCAACAACGGGCTGAGCAAGTGCAGAATGACTGTTGAGTGTGCTTTTGGCCGTTTAAATCCCCACTGGCGCTGCCTATATGGCAGGCTGGCCTGACCAATGATAATATTCCTAAGCTTATAGCTGCGTGCTGTACGCCCCATAATATTTGTGAAGGGAAGGGTGAAAGCTTCACTCAGGGCTGGACCTCTGAGGCTCAGCACCTGGAGGCTGAATTTGAATAGCCACAGACTAGGGCTATTAGAGGGGCACAACGTGGGGCCATCAGGGATGTCTCGAGGCAGCAATTTGAAGCTGAAAACCACTAATATATGTTGCTATGCATGGGAGTTCAGTGCTTGTAATGCTAAGAGGTGACTGGTGCAGACGATGCACTATAAAGATTTAAGAAAATTGCGTGTTTCTTTGCAAGGCTCTGTTTGCTTTCCAGGAATGAAATAAAGATTGCTTTCAAACCAAAACTATTCTTTTATTAAAAAGCAACCACCGGAGGAGAGGGAAAAACAACACCACCACATCAGCACTGTGGGGGATGGGGGAAGGGAGGGTCCCATGAGGAGGTGGGGTCCAGGGACGGTTAAAGATTTGTGTATGCCCAGGTATCATATGCAACCTTATTCTTTGGAGTACAGTGCAGGGGGTACCGTACTTCATCAGGAATACAGAGGGACGGGTGTTGAGTGCAGTGGGTACTGGGCGTCCGCAGGGCTGGACTGGGATGGGGCAGGAGTGGAAGGCAGCGGGTACAGACTGGAGCCAGGAGGTTGCTAAGAGTCTGTTGGCGGTGTCTGGGGGATGCACGTCTGGGGATGCGGATGCAGGGGAGGGCAATCACGGAGCTGTTCGGTTTGCAGTGCTAGTAGCACCAGGAGTGAGTCTGCTTGGCGCTCCTTAACGTTTAAGAGCCCCTCCATGGCTTCGTTCTGGCGCACCATTCTCCTTTACGTCCCTCTTCTCGCTGTCCGGCCACTCCTTTAATTCTTGTTTTTCAGCCGCGGAGTGCATCATGACCTCATGCAGAAAGTTCTCTTTAGTTCTTCATGGCCGCTTTCTAATTCTCAGCAGCTGTTTTTCCAGTGATAACAAAGAGGGAGGCTGGCTCCCAAGGGCATATCTGTGAAGCCAAAATGCACATTTTACAGAAGCGGTATTGTTTGCAACACAGAGACCACTGATGCAGTGATTTAAAACACAGCCACTATTCACATACGTGTCACTAACTGGCTAACCCAGGCAAGAACACATGAGCCACAAGACCCCGAAAATGGTAACAGCAGGGGCAGGGGAAATCACTGTTCCAGGACCGTACTGTACACTGGGCACGTGGCTCTTGGAGAGAGACAGCACTGGGGGGGAGGGGTGGGCCTTACAATCATTCCTGTGCCCACATTTTCCACAGGCTGTGTTCATTATGGAAGATATCTCGCTGCTGAGGGTGAGCAGAGAATCAAGAGTCTTCTCCAAGACTGTGGCGTACACCCTGTTCCTTATGTAGCTCACCTATGTGCAGCAATGGTCGCCCCCCCACCCCTCCCGTGATGGCAGAGTAGTGCAGGAAAGTTACCCTTAATGGGGCAAGAAACAAAGCAACTCTGCCAAAGATCCTGCAGCAGCGGCCTGCCTTGTATCTCCATAACAGTTTCATGGAGATCTCTGGGGCAGATTCCCATGAAGCGAGGGAATCAATTATCACCCTGTTCCACCACTCAGACTGGGCATGTGGTGGTACACGCATCATACAGACACAAGCCGGCTTTCTGCAACCCTCCTGCTCCCAAGAACTCACTTCAAGTGATTCCCAAGATCAGAGCCACTTACCAGGGGCCTCCTCTCCTGTTTGCGCTTCACCAAGCTCTGACAGCTGTGGCTGGCTCTCCTTCTCCGGGGCACAGAAGAGCTCCTGGCTGCATGCATATCTGACCTCTGACTCATCCTCTTCCTCTGGGGATCCCTCCGCTTCCACATCCTTATCCAGGATTTCCTCCTCCTGGCTTGGTCCACTCTCGACTGGCATGTGAGCCACTGAAGTATCCACAGTGGCCTTCACAGTGGAGGGCGGGTCACCACTGATTATCACATCCTGCTCTTTGTAGAACCAGGAGCTCATGGGTGCAGCACCGGAGCGGCGGTTTGCCTCCCATGCCATGGAGTAGGCGTTCCACAGCTCCTTCACTTTGACCCTGCATTGCAGTGTGTCCCGGTCATGGCCCCTTTCTCTCATGCATCGTGAAATCTGTCCATCAGTATAATTCCTACAACTAGAGCATAGCTGGAAGGGGACAGCCTCCTCTCCCCAAATGCTGATGAGGCCCAGCAGCTCGGCATTGCTCCAAGCAAGGTCACCTGGAAAGATGCACTGAGACCACTGCATGTGTCACCGAGCAAACAGGAAGGGGACTTTCAAAATTCCCAAGGAATTTAAGGGGTGGGGTTCACAGTTGGTCGCCTGCGGTCAGTGCAGTCGAGTTCAAACCGATGACCAGAGAGGCGAGAACAGGGATTGTGGGACACCTTCCGGAGGCCAATCGCAGCGCTGTGATCGACCAGCGTGTCTACACTTGCACCGCGGCGCTGTAGTCCTGGCACAGAAAGCTCTACGCCTCTCAACGGGGTGGCTTTTTTTTTTTTTTTTTTACAGAGCTGCAATTGCAGTTTCTGTGCACTAAGTGGCTTGGCTGTGTGTACACCTTGGGAGTTACACTGCAGAAAGCTACTTTACTGCGCAGAAACTTGCCAGTGTAGACAAGGCCCTATGTGGCTTACATAAGAACGCAAGACTGGCCATACTGGGTCAGACCAATGGTCATCTAGCCCAGTGTGTTCCCTGAGAGTGACCAGTGCCAGATGCTTCAGTGGGAATGAAAAGAACAGGCTTGTTGATCTGCAAGGTGAAGTTCTTTCACCCTTACATTTAACTTTTTTGGTGTCGATTCCTACTTACCCTATCTTACCACACCTCCCCCAAGGTCTCTGGGCAAATCAGGTGTGCACCACTCCTTTGATACAGACCTGTTCCAATCCAGCTGAATTGAGGCAGACTTTCGGCCAATGTCGTTTTGGAAAAGGCCTGCTTCACCCAGCAGGTTTCTCAAAGTATCCATTGCTGTGAACCGCACTTAGTGTGGATGTGTGAACCCCAAAGATATCAAACAGAAAAGACACACAAGGCCAGCTTTGGGGAGGTTTCCAGAGCCAGGCCTGATGGTTAAATAGCTGTTCTCAAAAGGAAAAGGGTCTTCAGCACCTATAAAAGTAACTGGTTGCAAAATTAAAATTAAATTAAAAAAACAAACCAAAAAAATAACCCAGAAAATCTCCCATCACACGCCCATCACCAGTTTAGATCTTGACATCTCCTGCCTGATGTCACTTCTTTGCTTTGCAAACAAGAGCCCTGGGGAACTCTGTGGCTGTTACCCTCTAACTGGGTAAAAGGCTACACATCTTGTCTCAAGTAATTTTCCTCTTCAGGGAAAATTTATTTTAAAATTTATTATAATAAATTCCATTTTAAATAGAAATAATTACAGTCTATACTGGGACTCTATTCTCATGCATGCTATTTCTCTCACATATTCCCCCACTCTAATTCCTTTGGAGTGAGGTTTTAATTTCAGGATTAGCCACCATTTCCTATGTAGTAGGAGGGGGCAGGGAGAGAACTAGAAGAAGGTTCTGGAGGAACCTTCTGATCTGGAGGATGGTGTGGATTGCACTCTCAGCAAATTTGCGGATGATACTAAACTGGGAGGAGTGGTAGATATGCTGGAGGGGAGGGATAGGATACAGAAGGACCTAGACAAATTGGAGGATTGGGCCAAAAGAAATCTGATGAGGTTCAATAAGGATAAGTGCAGGGTCCTGCACTTAGGACGGAAGAACCTAATGCACAGCTACAGACTAGGGACCGAATGGCTAGGCAGCAGTTCTGCGGAAAAGGACCTAGGGGTGACAGTGGACGAGAAGCTGGATATGAGTCAGCAGTGTGCCCTTGTTGCCAAGAAGGCCAATGGCATTTTGGAATGTATAAGTAGGGGCATAGCGAGCAGATCGAGGGACGTGATCGTTCCCCTCTATTCGACATTAGTGAGGCCTCATCTGGAGTACTGTGTCCAGTTTTGGGCCCCACACTTCAAGAAGGATGTGGATAATTTGGAGAGAGTCCAGCGAAGGGCAACAAAAATGATTAGGGGACTGGAACACATGAGTTATGAGGAGAGGCTGAGGGAGCTGGGATTGTTTAGCCTGCAGAAGAGAAGAATGAGGGGGGATTTGATAGCTGCTTTCAACTACCTGAAAGGGGGTTCCAAAGAGGATGGCTCTAGACTGTTCTCAATGGTAGCAGATGACAGAACGAGGAGTAATGGTCTCAAGTTGCAGTGGGGGAGGTTTAGGTTGGATATTAGGAAAAGCTTTTTCACTAAGAGGGTGGTGAAACACTGGAATGCGTTACCTAGGGAGGTGGTAGAATCTCCTTCCTTAGAGGTTTTTAAGGTCAGGCTTGACAAAGCCCTGGCTGGGATGATTTAACTGGGAATTGGTCCTGCTTCGAGCAGGGGGTTGGACTAGATGACCTTCTGGGGTCCCTTCCAACCCTGATATTCTATGATTCTATAAGAAAACGTGAATTCTGTTGTAACACTGCAAGTTATCACATGATCAGCCTCTTACATTACACTGATTAACTTCATGTTAAATTTCATTGTTGCTGGTAACAACTTATTCAAAGATTACAAAATATAAACCTATAGGGCAGCTTTCTCTTGATTCCCATTTCCACCCAGTGAGCTCTGTGTGAAGTCACATTCTACCATAAGCTAGGAGCCGCCTTCCATTTCTGAGAGTTCATTTCTCCCTGGATCTTCTCCCATAAGTGTGGGTGGAAGGGGTCTCACACTACGCAGGAAGATCGCATCACGAGGAAAAACCACCTGTGCTGTATTTTTACACTTTCTAATCTTTCAAAGTAGCAGCAGGAGAAGAAGTGATACAAATGCATTAGACTTAATAGCAAAACTAAGAGACCAAACTACAGACTCTGGACTTAGCATTCATATATCCTACAATTTGAATTTGGAATTTGATATATTCCCTCATTGGCTACCATCATTTGCCCAGCATAGAAGTGCTTCTTGTCCAACAAGGCAGCCAGATTGGGACCCATAGGCATGGAATGGCTCTGAAGGAATCAGCTCTTTCTTTCTCTGCTTCATGAAACTTTGGATCCAAATGGTAAAACAGAGTTGTGCCCAATGTAATCATGGCATTGTTTAGGAGTGTGATCAATGCCACTTAACAAGGAAGCAGGGACCTAAAAATAGTTTACCTGGGCCACAGGTCACCATAGCTTCCAACTCTGGGGTGAAAATCAACCACCAGTACCTGCAATTTCTACGTGAGTTCTTGTGAAATCCTTGACCTTACTTGGAGTAATTTTACTCTTCTCTGGCGTAGAATTCATCACCAACCACACAACATATCAGTAGCGATAGTGAGGTATAACTCCCCCAAATATGCCCTTTTATTCCTTTAATCTGGTGGCACAGATTTAATTTAGGGACTAAATTCAGGTGCTGCTTAGAATCCCTGTAAGACACCAAATGTCAGGTATCTATTAACAATAGGTATCTTTCTGCAGGTATATCCCATTCCACATGGATTTCATTTTCTACACGTTTGCAGCATCTCCCAGGGGTGAGCGGAACAGGAATGTCACTTCCATTTTCCCCATCTCTACCTAGATAGGTATTCTATTTCCCAAATAATAGGCAACATGCACCTGATTAGGAAGCAGGTATCTTCAGGAGTGACCTCTTTCACAACCTGGACAGAACTGCTTTGGGAGCCAAATGCATGGGTATTTTGCTTAGTTCCAAATCATTTGGTCCTGCTTTAAGCAGGGGGTTGGACTAGATGACCTCCTGAGGTCCCTTCCAACCCTGATATTCTATGATTTACTAGGGAATCCGCTTCCCAGCCCTTTAGAAAAAATACTGACATAACCAATTAAACAACAGGGGTGATTGGGATGGTGATGGGGAATAAGGGAATCCCTCTGATTTACCCTATCTTCTTCTGTTGTTACAGAGGGGAAATGACATTTTTCCCTATCCCTGATCTTTTTTATAGTTTAATATATTTTAAGGGAGGAAAATGGTAGTAAAAATATCTGCTCTCTAACAACCTGAAGCAACAACAGAGCAACTGGGAATGAAACCATTTGTTACTGAAGGGGGAACTTGATGAGTAACAATTGCTTTGAAATGAGGGAACAGTATAATCATGATGCTCAGGGTTTGTTTAGACTAGGAAAAGTGATAGAGTTTAGGTCAGGTCAAGGGGAAAGCCAATGACAACCACTGCACCTGGGCTGCCTCTGCTCTACCACTATACTTGTCTTTTCACACCAAGATCACTCACTTGAGCAGCCAATGCCATGTACAGTCCTAGTGGATGTAAGGCACAGTGTACATTATCTCAGTGTACATTGTTGTGAATGAAACCTCTCTCTCCTTCCGGGAGCTGATGAACATTCCTGGTTGGAGGGATACACACTGCTACAACTCAAAAGGAAAGGAGTTGATAGAAAATATCACAGGACTGATCCCAAAGAAGGGTGAGCTGCAAAAGGCAGAAGCAGGCAACTAATCTGGGGGAGCTGAGAGACCATGGTGCACAGATCACTATGAGAAACAGAAAATGTGATTTAAAAAAATAATCTTTGCCCAGCCCTAATCAAGGCATTTGTTACAGTTCTGTCTCATGTGGATTTTCTGATGTCTAATAAGGTGTGAGCTATTTTTGAAGCTTTTCCCACACTCAGAGCACGTGTAAGGCTTCTCTCCGGTGTGGATTCTCTGATGTGAGATAAGGTTTGAGCTCTGATTGAAGCTTTTCCCGCACTCAGCGCATGTGTAGGGCCTCTCTCCTGTGTGGAGTCGCTGATGTGTGATCAGGGCAGAGCTGCGATTGAAGCTTTTCCCACACTCAGAGCAGGTGTAGGGCATCTCTCCTGTGTGGATTCTCTGATGTGTGATCAGGGCAGACCTCTGATTGAAGCTTTTCCCGCACTCAGAGCATGTGTAGGGCATCTCCCCTGTGTGGATTCTACGATGGGTGATAAGGGTCGAGCTCTGATTGAAACTTTTCCCACACTCAGAGCACGTGTAGGGAGTCTCTCCTGTGTGGATTCTACGATGTATGATAAGGGTCGAGCTCTGATTGAAGCTTTTCCCACACTCAGAGCACGTGTAAGGCTTCTCTCCTGTATGGATTCTCTGATGTGAGATAAGGTTTGAGCTCCGATTGAAGGTTTTCCCGCACTCAGCGCATGTGTAGGGTCTCTCTCCTGTGTGGATTCGCTGATGTGTGATCAGGGCAGAGCTGTAATTGAAGTCTTTTCCACACTCAGAGCACGTGTAGGGCATCTCTCCTCTGTGGATTCTCTGATGTGTGATCAGGGCAGACAACTGACTGAATCTTTTCCCGCACTCATAGCACATGTAGCGCGTCTCTCCTGTGTGGATTCTACGATGCGTGATCAGGGTCGAGCTCTGATTGAAGCTTTTCCCGCACTCAGAGCACGTGTAGGGCGTCTCTCCTGTGTGGATTCTCTGATGTGTGATAAGGTGTGAATGCCGACTAAAGCTTTTCCCACACTCAGAGCATATGTGGCGTCTCTCTCCTGTGTGGATTCGCTGATGTGAGACGAGGGTTGAACTGTCAACGAAGTGTTTCCCGCACTCAGAGCATCCATAAGTTTTCTCTCCTGTGTGGGTTCTCTGATGCGTGATAAAGTTTGAGCTCTGATTGAAGCTTTTCCCACACTCAGAGCACATGTAGGGTTTCTCTCCTGTGTGGGTTCTCTGATGTGTGAGAAGGTCTGAGCTCCGATTAAAGCTTTTCCCACTCTCATGGCATGTGTACCGTGTCTCTTCCAAGTTGATTCTCTCAAATGTAATAAGGTCTGAGTGGCTACTGAAGTTTTCCTCTGGCCTCTGCTCAGTCTCACAGGCTCTCTCGATTTCTGGGAGTGCACAACTCCTGGAACCATTCCCTTTGGATCTTCTTGATAACGTTCCATGTGGTTCTACTTCCTCAGCATCTTCCTGCTCGGGTGTCTCCTCCTCATTCTCAGTCACCATCCCATCACCTGATGGGAGACAAAGAGAATCCAGACATAGGTCACTCCCTGTACCGGAAAGAAAGGAAATCTCAGAGAGAGGGGAATGGAAAAAGGGATGAACAAACCAAAATATATGTGGGAGAGATCAAACCTATCAGGAGCTGATTTTCCCCAAACCCTTCCTCACAGGAGAGAGGAAGGGATCAGTTTTGGTCTGCATCTCACCAGAACCCTCAGGGGAAAGTGAGATTGGAGAGGGACCTTCTGCCAGTTGTCAGTCAGAAGAGGTGGGAAGCCATGAGTGACACAGAATCATAGAATATCAGGGTTGGAAGGGACCTCAGGAGGTCATCTAGTCCAACCCTCTGCACAAAGCAGGACCAATCCCCAATTAAATCTCCCAGAATGATTCCATTCTGCAGGGAACAATCCTGAACTTGGAGAGCTCAAGGTCTTTGTAGGGCATCCCAAAGGTTTCCTGCATTCCCAAACAGTTTTTGAGTTGGTTTAAGTAATTCCTCACCTGTGCAGGAAGCTCTTGGGAGCACTTCTGTCTCAGAGCCCTGGAGGTCCGGGACCCATGGCTCTTCCCCTCGTTCCAGCTGCGAGATCACATCAGGTTTGGAAATTGGAAACCCTACTCCAGGCAAAGAAAACAAGGGAGGTCAGTGGAATTTGTGGGATACTTGTCACAAAGAGCAGTCCATGGTTGTAATCCCAGTTCATTTTTTAAGCACTAACATCCCAAGGCCATCTACATTGGCTCAAAGTGGCAGAATAGTTATTATTATTATATAAATAATATTCATTACCTTAGTGCCTAAGGAGCAACTAACAGTGGGTCACCATTATACTAGGGAAAGTACAGAGAATAGCAGATGGCCCATGCCCTGAAGAATTTACAATCTAAATAGAAAGACAGGCACAGAATGGGGGAAGGCGTAGAACCCATTGTTAGAATATAGATATTCAAGCCTGCCTGTAAAGTCTACACGTTAAGAACTTAGGTGTATTTTTATCACTTAGCTACTTACAGGGGTATAAAAGCAAAGAATCAAACTCACAGTATGCCTGTGTAGGGGCCTTCTCTCACTAGGATAGCCTAAGAACAAGACCACAGACGAAGGCCCTTGGCTAAGCAGATGGGGCAGCCAAAAGTTGGGAAGCATACGGTCACATCCTCATATCCCAAACGAGTCAGGTTGAAATAAGGTGGTATTGGGCTGTTAGGAAGACGATCCTGTCCAGATGGTGCCCATCACCATCAGATAAAGAAACAGATCTTAAGATGGTTAAAGAAAACGTAGTTTGATAGCATCCTGTCTGGCAAGAAATCACTTATCAATGGTTGTGAAACCCTCATTTCCGTATTGTTTTATCTTTATGGCCACCATTTTTACCTTGTTAATCAGTCTAGTTCTCTAAGTGTTTCTGTCTGTTGTGTAATTAATTTTGCTAGGTGTAAGTTAATTAGGGTAGTGGGATATAATTGGTTAGAGAATTATGTTACAATATGTTGGAATTGGTTAGTTAAATTTCAGTACGGTTGGTTAAGGTATAGCTGAGCATATTATTATATAAAGGGGGTCAAACAGGAGGGGGAAGGGAAACTAATCATTTTGTTTAAGAGGGGTGAAATGGGAACAGGGACACAGGCGAGGCGCTGCGGCGTCAGAGCTGGGAAGGGAGACAGGGAAAATGCTCTGCGGAGTCAGAGCTGGGAAGGGAACATGGGGAAACAGGCTTTGTCGGCGTACAGAGATAAGCGCAACTGGTGTGAAGGACTTTGCAATATGCCTGCTTGGAAACTAACCCCAATAAGCATCGCATTATCTGCGCTTCGGACTTCTGGTCTTTTGCTGCTTGCTGTCTGCGTGACAAGAACCAGAGAAGTGGGAGGGTGAATGGAAAGCCTTGTAACAAAAATGACATAATCTGATAACCAAGAGGTAAGCCTTTAAGGAAGGTTTTAATACACTTTGGAACTGATCAGGGATTCCCATGAGGACTGATGAGGGGCGATGGTAAATACACTTTTAGATCCTTTTATATCTTTTCCCCATCGGGCACACGGTCATGGATCCATAGGATCTCTGCAATGCCCTGGCTTTTAAACAGTCCTTGGGAGCTGCCCATTCAGGGCACGAGACCCCCAAGAGGTCCCACTCTTCCTACAAGGATGAGCCATGGAGCTTCAACATCTGAGACTGAGCCTCTGGCTTCAACACTCCTATTCCAACTGTGAGCTCTGCCCAGCAGGTCCAGCTGAACGACACTCCTCTTCAGAGACTGTTCCTCAGTCATTGCACAGAGCAAGTTTTTCCTGTGACACTGGGCAGACTTTTAAAATACAGCAGGATTTATTAGTCAACTGAAACACAGCACTGGAAAGCCCTTAGATTAGGACAGAGAAGTGAAGAAGACAATACAGTCCATGCTGGCCAATGCCCTTGAGCCATGCTGCTGTAGAAAACAGTTTGGTTTCCTTTCACTGTGCCTGTCCATTTGTCTTTGCTCCGGTAGGGCTCTCTGTATCTGCAAGCCCAGTTCTTCCTGCTCCCAAAAACATAACGAGTCCATGTATGCTTCACTCAGCGAAGCAGAGATCCTCCCATGGAGAGGTGAGAATTATTCCCTTGTCTCTGTCCGTTATTCCACTGATGTAGGTTGGTCCCAGCCAGTCCTTAATGACCCATTCATATCACCCCATGACAGCTACATGACAAAACACCTCATGTCTCCTGCTCTTTATAATCATAGCAATATCAATCACAGAGGGAAACTGAGGTGTGTATTGGCATCATACATGTATCACCAAAATTCCCACCTCTATGACACACACACATATACACACTGCTCACAGCCCTTGGAGAGAAAGCAAAGTACAAGAACTGGAGGTTAGTCCAGTGAACACAGTGGAGGAGAAGCTGCAATCCTCAAACTCTAGTCAAAAAGGAGAGACATGTGGGTCCCGACCCATAGAGAGGGGCTGGCTAGAGGCCTGATACCCGAGAGGGCATTCCTTGAGCCGACCATGGAAGCAGGTCAAAGGCTTAACTACCCCAGAACTGTGACATCGCAGAAGCACATTTTGGGGAATTAGGAAATCTAGTGACTCAGGTGTAATGGGAGGGAGAATGAAACTCTCCCAGTGTGTGGAGAAGGCTGGGGAATGAAACACTAAAATTCAGGAGCAACAGCCTCTAATTCTTCCAGAAAAGGAGAATGTAAGAAACAAGAATTGGGCCAACCAACCTCAGGAGGGACAGGCTCAAAGATCCAAGGAGCCTGGAGGGAAAACCGCTTGTGGCTGCTGCAGATGGGGAGAGGGGGGAAAAAGACTCTTTCCAAACTCTCACTCCTGTTGACCCCGACCTGATTTTATGATCTATGACGTAGTCTCTTGTCTTGTGGGCAATTTTATACTCGCTAGAGGTAAAATGTCATGATCAGAGTATTGCTTATTAGCTTGGAACATGTGTGGAGGGGGAAGGAGGTGAACATAAATAAATGGGTTATTAAGGGCAGGGACTACACTACAGCCGGGATCAAAGCTCTGAGATCGATCCACCGGTGGTCGACGTAGCAGGTCTAGTAAAGCCCCGCCAAAATGACTGCAGATCGAGTTAGGTAAGTAGACCCTGCGGTAACTCGACCTAAGGTACATCGACTCCAGCTACATTATTCATATAGCTGGAGTTGCGCAGGGTAGGTTGACTGACCAGGGTAGTGTAGACATAACCTAAGGTTGCTACAGGTAAGGGCCTTATATTAGGTTGAGGCTTTGTGGGAGTAGTTATGCTGAAGTCTGGGATTTACCTAAATAGGCCTAAGGAGAGGATCCCAGGTGAGATATTTTGCACCCTCATTTTGAGAGACTAATGAGTAACCACAAACAGGTGCAACACGCCACAGGATTCTGAAAGAAGGAGGTTTGGGGCGGCTTTAGCAATTAGACAGGTTTCAGAGTAGCAGCCGTGTTAGTCTGTATTCGCAAAAACAAAAGGGGGACTTGTGGCACATTAGAGACTAACAAACTTATTAGAGCATAAGCTTTTGTGAGCTACAGCTCACTTCCACTGAATGCATCCAATGAAGTGAGCTGTAGCTCACAAAAGCTTATGCTCAAATAAGTTTGTTAGTGTCTAAAGTGCCAGAAGTCCTCTTTTTTTTTTTTTTTTTAAGTAATTAGGTTACTATGAAGTATCTCAGCAGTTGGACTGCATTCATATATTAGAATTATTAAGAAATAAGTGACGTAAATCATGAGTATTAATGCTTGATGCCTAATTATAGACTTCCCAAAGGCCACATAGAATCATAGAATATCAGGGTTGGAAGGGACCCCAGAAGGTCATCTAGTCCAACCTCCTGCTCAAAGCAGGACCAATCCCCAATTAAATCATCCCAGCCAGGGCTTTGTCAAGCCTGACCTTAAAATCTTCTAAGGAAGGAGATTCTACCACCTCCCTAGGTAACGCATTCCAGTGTTTCACCACCCTCCTAGTGAAAAAGTTTTTCCTAATATCCAACCTAAACCTCCCCCACTGCAACTTGAGACCATTACTCCTTGTCCTGTCCTCTTGTACCACTGAGAATAGTCTAGAACCATCCTCTCTGGAACCACCTCTCAGGTAGTTGAAAGCAGCTATCAAATCCCCCCTCATTCTTCTCTTCTGCAGGCTAAACATCCCCAGTTCTCTCAGCCTCTCCTCATTAAGTCATGTGTTCCAGACCCCTAAACATTTTTGTTGCCCTTCGCTGGACTCTCTCCAATTTATCCACATCCTTCTTGTAGTGTGGGGCCCAAAACTGGACACAGTACTCCAGATGAGGCCTCACCCATGTCAAATAGAGGGGGACGATCACGTCCCTCGATCTGCTCGCTATGCCCCTACTTATACATCCCAAAATGCCATTAGCCTTCTTGGCAACAAGGGCACACTGCTGACTCATATCCAGCTTCTTGTCCACTGTCACCCCTAGGTCCTTTTCCGCAGAACTGCTGCCTAGCCATTCGGTCCCTAGTCTGTAGCTGTGCATTGGGTTCTTCCGTCCTAAGTGCAGGACCCTGCACTTATCCTTATTGAACCTCATCAGATTTCTTTTGGCCCAATCCTCCAATTTGTCTAGGTCCCTCTGTATCCTATCCCTGCCCTCCAGCGTATCTACCACTCCTCCCAGTTTAGTATCAACAAGAATACTGTGGGAGACCGTGTCAAAAGCTTTGCTAAAGTCAAGATACAATACATCCACTGCTTTCCCTTCATCCACAGAACCAGTAATCTCATCATAGAAGGCGATTAGATTATTCAGGCATGACCTTCCCTTGGTGAATCCATCCTGACTGTTCCTGATCACTTTCCTCTCATGTAAGTGCTTCAGGATTGATTCTTTGAGGACCTGCTCCATGATTCTTCCGGGGACTGAAGTGAGGCTCACTGGCCTGTAGTTCCCAGGATCCTCTTTCTTCCCTTTTTTAAAGATTGGCACTACATTAGCCTTTTTCCAGTCATCCGGGACTTCCCCCGTTCGCCACGAGTTTTCAAAGATAACGGCCAATGGCTCTGCAATCACAGCCGCCAGTTCCTTTAGCACTCTCGGATGCAACTCGTCTGGCCCCATGGACTTGTGCACGTCCAGCTTTTCTAAATAGTCCCTAACCACCTCTATCTCCACAGAGGGCTGGCCATCTCTTCCCCATTTTGTGATGCCCAGCGCAGCAGTCTGGGAGCTGACCTTGTTAGTGAAGACAGAGGCAAAAAAAGCATTGAGTACATTAGCTTTTTCCACATCCTCTGTCACTAGGTTGCCTCCCTCATTCATTAAGGGGCCCACACTTTCCTTGGCTTTCTTCTTGTTGCCAACATACCTGAAGAAACCCTTCTTGTTACTCTTGACATCTCTCGCTAGCTGCAGCTCCAGGTGCGATTTGGCCCTCCTGATTTCATTCCTACATGCCCGAGCAATATTTTTATACTGTTCCCTGGTCATATGTCCAACCTTCCACTTCTTGTAAGCTTCTTTTTTATGTTTAAGATCCGCTAGGATTTCACCATTAAGCCAAGCTGGTCGCCTGCCATATTTACTATTCTTTCGACACATTGGGATGGTTTGTCCCTGTAACCTCAACAGGGATTCCTTGAAATACAGCCAGCTCTCCTGGACTCCTTTCCCCTTCATGTTAGTCCCCCAGGGGATCCTACCCATCCGTTCCCTGAGGGAGTTGAAGTCTGCTTTCCTGAAGTCCAGGGTCCGTATTCTGCTGCTTACCTTTCTTCCCTGTGTCAGGATCCTGAACTCAACCAACTCATGGTCACTGCCTCCCAGATTCCCATCCACTTTTGCTTCCCCTACTAATTCTTCCCGGTTTGTGAGTAGCAGGTCAAGAAAAGCTCCCCCCCTAGTTGGCTCCTCTAGCACTTGCACCAAGAAATTGTCCCCTACGCTTTCCAAAAACTTCCTGGATTGTCTATGCTCCGCTGTATTGCTCTCCCAGCAGATATCAGGAAAATTAAAGTCACCCATGAGAACCAGGGCGTGTGATCTAGTAGCTTCTGCGAGCTGCCGGAAGAAAGCCTCATCTACCTCATCCCCCTGGTCCGGTGGTCTATAGCAGACTCCCGCCACTACATCACTCTTGTTGCTCACACTTCTAAACTTAATCCAGAGACACTCAGGTTTTTCTGCAGTTTCGTACCGGAGCTCTGAGCAGTCATACTGCTCCCTTACATACAGTGCTACTCCCCCACCTTTTCTGCCCTGCCTGTCCTTCCTGAACAGTTTATAACCATCCATGACAGTACTCCAGTCATGTGAGTTATCCCACCAAGTCTCTGTTATTCCAATCACGTCATAATTCCTTGACATCACCAGGACCTCCAGTTCTCCCTGCTTGTTTCCAAGGCTTTGTGCATTCGTATATAAGCACTTGAGATAACCTGCTGATCGCCCCTCATTCTCAGTATGAGGCAGGAGCCCTCCCCTCACAGACATTCCTGCCTGTGCTTCCTCCCGGTATCCCGCTTTCCCACTTACCTCAGGGCTTTGGTCTCCTTCCCCCGGTGAACCTAGTTTAAAGCCCTCCTCACTAGGTTAGTCAGCCTGCTCACAAAGATGCTCTTCTCTCTCTTCGTAAGGTGGAGCCCGTCTCTGCCCAGCACTCCTCCTTCATGGAACACCATCCCATGGTCAAAGAATCCAAAGCCTTCTCTCCAACACAACCTGCGTAGCCATTCGTTGACTTCCACGATTCGACGGTCCCTACCCAGGCCTTTTCCTTCCACGGGAAGGATGGACGAGAACACCACTTGCGCCTCAAACTCCTTTATCCTTCTTCCCAGAGCCACGTAGTCCGCAGTGATCTGCTCAAGGTCATTCTTGGCAGTATCATTGGTGCCCACGTGGAGAAGCAGGAAGGGGTAGCGATCCGAGGGCTTGATGAGTCTCGGCAGTCTCTCCGTCACATAGCAAATCTTAGCCCCCGGCAAGCAGCAGACTTCTCGGTTTTCCCGGTCAGGGCGGCAGATAGATGACTCAGTCCCCCGGAGGAGAGAGTCCCCGACCACCACCACCCGCCTCCTTCTCTTGGGAGTGGTGGTCGTGGAACCCCCTATCTCAGGACAGTGCATTTCATGCCTTCCAACCAGCGGAGTCTCCTTCTGCTTTCTCCCCCCAGACATATCATCTGGTCCACATATGGGTTGGGGCAACTATTGACATTATTGTAATCAGAGTAAAGGAGCAGATATGGTATATAGCCGTACTATTTCCATAAGGAAGGGGATAAAATACCTCTCCTAGTTACCATTTTCTCATTTTGTTGGGTCCCTGAGACAGTGTAAACTAAAGCAGGGCCTAGCTTCTGATGGTCTCCCTTGCCCCTCCATCTTTGTTTCCAATGGTGTCCATAACTGGTAAATATGCACCATGCAAGACCCTCTTTACTATACTTATCTTAGTCTAATCGTTAGGTGTATTGATTTTTGCCTATGTTTTCAATTATAACTGTCTGTATTAAATCAAGTTTCTGTGTGTTTCACCGTATGTCATCTCCTCCATTAAATTTGAGTCGCCATGGACAAGGGCAAGCTGTACCCCAATACATAACCTTATAGGTGTAAAAATGGTACAGGCTACACTACCATCCTGTGACATCATCAACAAAGTGCCCATTTGTGCCTGGGTAGCGGCCCTGCCATGGGAGGGAGGAATGCAGCAAGGATTCAGGATCGGTGGCCAAGGTTGCTGTGCAGAGAGACGGGGAGGGTATATGGGGAGGGAGGTCAAGAGTTAAAATAATAGTATTTGGGGGAAAAAATGTATACTGAAGTGAAACTGAACAGAAATAAAACTGGAGTGTAGGCTCTAAAGCCACAAGGCTTGGGTAGGGATTCGGGGTTAAAGGTCTGGGATCCCCCACAGCTCTAGATCCCTAAAAATCTCCTCCCTCCCACTGACCCACCCAGCCCACTGCCTGGGTGCTATTCCTCCACACTCCCCTCCCCTTCGTCCCATTACTCTCAGCCGGCACCACCTCCTGGAACCTTGGGAGCTACTTATGTTCCCTCCTCGTCTCTCACTACCTCATCCCTCCCTGCTGCTTCTTAGCTCTTACCCTGCACACACCCTCCCCACGTCCTGGCACCCCAGAATTATCTACTCCCCCGCTTCTCCTCCCCTCCCACAGCTCTGTTCTCCCTTCACCCGTGGGGTCCTGAATGGCAACGTTATACACTCTCATATCAAAAGAGGAGCTCGTCTGACTGTCACACAAGCCATGCATGAGTCATACCCACCTATTAACCTAATTTAGAATTCTACAGGCAGCATATTTTCCTCTTAAAATGAGGAAAAGGCATGAAAGCTACAGTTATTAATGTAAAAAGAAAAGGAGTATTTGTGACACCTTGGAGACTAACAAATTTATTTGAGCATAAGCTTTCGTGAGCTATAGCTCACGTCATCGGATGCAAGTACTCCTTTTCTTTTTGTGGATACAGACTAACACGGCTGCGACTCTGAGACCAGTTATTAATGTAGCCAATAAGGATATCTTAAATGCAATTTTAAAATGACTGACAGCACCAAAAAGGCACATGTCCAAAAATTATACTAGTGTGTGGGAGATCAGGCAAAAAAAGGTGGGCAAGGAAACTTGCCAAAACTTATATGATGAATAAAGGTATAAAGTTATTACTACTCAGGTTCTTTAGAGACCCCACAGCTTCTACTAACCGACGGGACAGGACTCCTTACCCAGCAAGACCACCGTCTCATAGTTCTCCTGCATGACGTCTCTGTAGAGGGCTCTCTGAGTGGGGTCCAACAGAGCCCATTCCCCCTTGGTGAAATACACAGCCACCTCCTCAAAAGTCACCAGCCCCTAAAAGAGAAAGAGTCCAACACTCAGTACCTGCTGCCCCAGTCAAAACCCCTCTATTCACTGAACAGCAGCACCAGGTAAATTGAAGGTCCGGGAGGCAGTTAACAGAGTCCCACCACACCTTGCTTAGAGAGGCCAGGAGGCATCAGAGGGTAGAAAGACAGAACCTTTGTGTCCCCCAGCTGATAAATGTGAAGACCCTGCCTCCTTCTATCACATACCTACTAGCCAGAGCTTGATATGGGAGATGGGGCCGTCTCTGGACCCTGCTGGTGGCTCCTTGGTAGGAATCCCAACACACTCCAAATAAAATATACGGAAGAAAGGGGAAGTCAGTAGTAAAGAATATAAGTTAGAAGGTCAGAATTGTAGAAAATTGGTAATGATCAATCAATGAAAATAAGAAGGAAGTTTTTTTAAAGTATATTAAGTACAAAATTAATCCTAACAATGGTAGTGGTAAATTACTAGAGGGAAATGGCAGAATATAAAAAATAATGCAGAAGAGGTAAAAGTGTTCAATAACAATTTCTTTCCTGGATTTGGAGAAAAACAGATGATGTACTCATATCATAAGATGTTGACGCCGACAGTCTTTCTATTCCAAGAAGAACTCACGAGGATGTTAAACAGCAGCTATTAAAGTTAGACATGTTTAAATCAGCGGGTCCAGATAACAAGAGTTTTGAAAGACCTGGCAGAGGAGTATGGTGGACTGTTAATGTGGTTTTAATTAGGACTAGCTGAGTCTCAAGCAAAGCAGTGTGAGAAGGGCCAGGCCAGCTTGAGGGTTAGAGGGCACAGCGGTTCCCAGAAGCCCCCCAGACTACACCCCGGGGTGACAACCCATCACATCCTAGAGTACACAGTTCTCAGCAGGTTTGTCACATTCTGTCCCCTCCCTTTCTCCACACTAGATATTTCCTGCCTCCCACTACCTCTAGCAGCTCCCACCCTCCTTTGTATTTACTGCTCCTCTCCCTCCAAGCAGAACCCACCACCAGCTCCCTGATAATCCCTTACCTGAGCCAGCTCCATTGCAGCCATTTCCTTCCCCCTGGGAGGACGGGATGATCTGGAGTGAAACCTGGATGTTATTCTGTAGCCTGCCAGGGTGAGAAGGGCAATGTGACAGAATTCAGACAGGGGTTTTGTCCATTCCAAAAGACAATTCCCCCCAGGATTTGTCCCTGCTAATGGACATTCTAGGTTCTGCCACACTGTGAAGCACAGAGTGACCTTATTCCAGTAGAAGCCTAGCCACCTCCCACAAGGGTGTAACCCTCTGAGACATGGTGAAACCCTCCCAGTTACAGAGTCTCTGTTACACTTATCAAGTTTGTGAGCATTACCAAGGTGGGAGGGGTTGCAAGTGTTTTGGAGGATAGGAAAGAGATCTGGGGGTCATAGTGGATTACAAGCTAAATGAGAGTCAACAGCGTTAAACTAAAAAAGCAAGTATCATTCTGGGATGTATTAGCAGATGTATTGTAAGCAAGACACGAGAAGTAATTCTTCCGCTCTACTCTGCGCGGATTAGGCCTCAACTGGAGTAGTGTGTCCAGTTCTGGGCACCACATTTCAGGAAAGATGTGAAGAAATTGGAGAAAGTCTGGAGAAGAGCAACAAAAATGATTAAAGGTCTAGAAAGGGAAGATTGAAAAAAATGGGTTTGTTTAGTCTGGAAAAGAGAAGACTGAGAGGGGACATGATCACAGTTTTCAAGTACATATAAGGTTGTTACAAGGAGGAGGGGGAAAATTTGTTCTACTTAACCTCTGAGGATAGGACAAGAAGCAATGGGCTTAAATTGCAAGAAGGGAGGTTTAGGTTGGACATTAGGAAAAACTTCCTAACTGTCAGAGTGGTTTAGCACCGGAATAAATTGCCAAGGGAGGTTGTGGAATCTCCATCATTGGGAATTTTTAAGTGCAGGCTGGACAAACACCTCTCAGGGATGGTAAGATAATACTTAGTCCTGCCTTGAGTGAAGGGGACTGGACTTGAGTGACTTCTCGAGGTCCCTTCCAGTTCTATTATTCTGTAAACCAAAGGCCAGAGAAGAGCAGAATCAAAGGAGTCACTTTGGGAGATTGTCCCTGTCATTGTCCCCAAGGCAGCTGTCTCAGGGGGGCTGCCAAACAAGGCCAGCACTAGACTCACCGAGGCCCAGGGCAGAAAGCTGAAGTCCCAGTGCATGGGGCTGAAGTTCAGGGCCCTGAGCCCCACCTCCCAGGGCTGAAGCCAAAGCCTAAGCAATGTCGCTTTGTGGGGGCCCCAGGCAGTTGCCCTGCTTGCTACCCTCTAACACCAGCCCTGGCTTTTATATGTAGAAAACCAGTTATTGTGGACCACGTGGGCCGTGGAGTTTTTATAGCATGTTAGGGGGGCCTCAGAAAGAAAAAATTTGAGAACCCCCGGTGTAAGGGACCATCTGTCACAAAGGTGAGCTCACCTGTGTGGTGAGATCTACGGGATGACCCAAGGGGACTGTCTGTGATTCCATGTTAATGCTGTTACAGTGCCTGAAGCCTTTACACTGGATACTTGATGGGTGAAATCTACATATCGACCTCACAATCAATTTGGGGTTTGTTCCCTGCTTCTTACCGGTGTGAAAGGCCAATGGCATTTTGGGATGTATAAGTAGGGGCATAGCGAGCAGATCGAGGGACGTGATCGTTCCCCTCTATTCGACATTGGTGAGGCCTCATCTGGAGTACTGTGTCCAGTTTTGGGTCCCACACGACAAGAAGGATGTGGAAAAATTGGAAAGAGTCCAGCGGAGGGCAACAGAAATGATTAGGGGTCTGGAACAGATGAGTTATGAGGAGAGGCTGAGGGAGCTGGGATTGTTTAGCCTGCAGCAGAGAAGAATGAGGGGGGATTTGATAGCTGCTTTCAACTACCTGAAAGGGGGTTCCAAAGAGGATGGCTCTAGACTGTTCTCAATGGTAGCAGATGACAGAACGAGGAGTAATGGTCTCAAGTTGCAGTGGGGGAGGTTTAGATTGGATATTAGGAAAAACTTTTTCACTAAGAGGGTGGTGAAACACTGGAATGCGTTACTTAGGGAGGTGGTAGAATCTCCTTCCTTAGAGGTTTTTAAGGTCAGGCTTGACAAAGCCCTGGCTGGGATGATTTAACTGGGAATTGGTCCTGCTTCGAGCAGGGGGTTGGACTAGATGACCTTCAGGGGTCCCTTCCAACCCTGATATTCTATGATTCTATGAAAGTGGAAAAAGGGATAAAGGGAATTTGAACGCAGACATCTTAGTTTTCTAAGGAATAGAGCAAGAGTCAGGCTAACTCTAACTCTAAGAACACGACACTTTAAGGCAGGGCCTTGGCAAGTGGGAAGCGAGTGAGAAAACTGTGAGAGATGCCGTTTTGACCTTGTGTTGGATAAGAATGGAACTCAGACTGTAGCAGGAACTGCAGAGAAAAAGTAAGATATCAGGAAGGAATATGTATAAACAAGACGCAGCAGTTGATCATTATTGCATGTAATAAAAGGTATAAGTGCTTGCCCTAATTGTTTATCATGCGGAAACCTGCAAAGGAAGGGGGAATCCCTGTCTGGACGCAGTCTCCCCCTTGCAATTGCTTGAGAATAAATGGTCTCTGACTTGTTGCAAACAACCTAAGAGTGAAGACTGCGTTTTTCTTCCACACCACTCTGCCTGAGGCTGGTGCTCATGCTCTCGAGTCACTGAAGACAGCGTTACAGGGACTTATGGGCACAACGCCACCAAGGGCAAGTTGCAGCAACGCAGAGCAGGCTTTACAGTGACAGAGTGTGGGCCAAATGGTCCATGGATTCAGTCAAGCCCCAGTTCTCCTCCAGTGCACATCAGCATCCCGGCAACCTTCGAGGAGGGTCAAGGCTGCCACTTGTTCAGTGATGATGGATCTCCAGCAGAGCATCACACGCACCCCATGGCCCGCCTTGTCTCCCGAGACAGAGGTGAGTGAGGGAGGGTGCACAACGGATCCTGGGGGGGTGGGGAAAGGGATAACGAAACACACCTTCTGGTGGTCACCCCTCAGGAAGTGAAGGTGAGAGGCATTGTGGTGGCAGTAAAGGGGGAGGGGAGAGATTGGGAGCAGTACCCCATCAAAGGCAATGCTGCCAGTGAGTATCCCCACCACATCAGGCATGGGGCTGATAGGGTGCCATTCCCTGGGCCTGGGTAGGCCTATATAAACCCCACGCTGGCACAGAAGGGGCTAAACTGCTGCTTTAGTCTGGATTGGCCCAGATCCTCCCCACCTGCAAACGATTCCAGGACTGGAGCAGGAGTGAACAGGAGAGACCTTCTCTACTCATAGGGGGAGAACCCTGGGAAGGGAACAGTCTGTGGAGCAATTCCAGCCCCAAAGAGAGGGCTGGCAGCATTCGGGGCTCTGGCCTTCACTGAGGGAGGGTGGGGATCCCTGGAGCTCAAAAGGGGAGCAGGCTGAAACTTGCGCTGGAAACCCAGTAACCTCTGAAGGGGACTGAGACGCTCCCACAGCCCCCAGAATAAAAGGGGCCCATATCCTGATGGGATCTGTAAACAGCGTTTTCTCCTCCGTTTCTTTTTTTTAATTCCTTTATTTACCCTTGTTTGCCAGCAATCGGCTCTTTTGCTGTTTCACCTGGTTCCCCAAGAGAGGAAGAAAGTGCTCTGAGGCCTCAGACAGAGGGTTGAGCCATGACACACCAGAAGGGCATGCCCCTGGAGCACCCCTGGGGCAGGGGTCAATTGGACTCACAGAAGTGCACCCCAGAAGGCCTGAGGCCCAGCAGTTTGGCACCAGTTTGATGGGCTGGAAGGCCTCTCACTGGGGGCTGCCAGAAGCCTGGCACATGGAGTAGATACGGGGTGGCTTGGGGAGAAGGAAGCAGAGCAGCGTCCCAGACAGCACACCAAGAAGGGAAATGGAGAGGGGACGAGGGGCACTGCAGTGAACTCAGCACACGTCACGAAGGCCATTGGCAGAAAGTTGTCCCGTCCCTGGCCTACGGGCGTCAGACGGTGACACAGAGATCCCTTGGCAAAGGGTCACTTGGTCTTTGCCAGCAGCTCTCACCTGAGACCTGACAAACCCATCACATCAAACACATCTCTTGGAGGGTATTTATCCATAGGGGAGATCATGTGAGGCTGTGACAAAGTGGGGGTTTATTCATCTTGTTATGCTGCATGTGTGTCTTACTCCCCTATACGAACACTGTGTGTACCTCAGTTTCCCACAATACTTCGGTGGTGGGAATTGGGTGTGTGATTTTTGCCGAGGCCCGTGGGGCAGGTGAAGCTTCCCAGCAGCCTACACTTATCTAACCGGAGACCCAGGAGAGGGGTGCAACCAGGTGACACCTTTTGCCTGGGAAGTGAGATAAAGAGACGGAGGAGGAGCAACAGGGGGGTGTCAGAGGTCGGGTCGCTGGAAGCGGGCAGTTTGCATGGGGGGACTCGAAGAGGGAGAGTCCAGGGCATCTGGCCCAGGACTCCCAAGGTGGACTTGGCTGAAAGTCACTGATTTCTGTGATAGCAAGCTCTGTTCTATGCTGTATTCCTGTCGCCTAAGAAACCTTCTGTTTTACTGGCTGGCTGAGAGTAATGTCTGATTGCGGAGTTGGGGTGCAGGGCCCTCTGGCTTCCCCAGGAGCCCCGTCCCAGCGGAGTCGCTGCAGGAAGCACACATTGTGGAAGGGGATGCTGAATGCTCCGAGGTCAGATCCAGGAACGTTAAAGCTGTGTAAACTTCTGCCCTGGAGACAGTCTGCTCAGAGAGAGGAGGCTCCCCCAGAGTCCTGACTGGCTTCCTACAGAGTAGTTCCAGAGCATTGACCCAGTGACTCCGTGACAGAGGCATATACAAAAAGCTCATAACTGGTCAAGACTCAGAATGACTGAGACATCAACGTATGCATCGTACGTAAGGAACAAAGCATTTATATTGAAAATCGACTTTATGGACTTGGAATGGAAAATCAATCACCGAGCAGTAATGGGCCCCAGGATTGGCCCATCCACCCAAGAGGGAGTCGTCACCCATGTTCCCTCTAATTATTTCCATCCATGTGCGGAATGAATTTTGTTATGTGCTCCACCACTAT